TATGCAGATGACATTCAGCTGTACATGTCTTTTAAACCTAATAATGTCTCCAAGCTGTCCATCTTAATTGAATGTGTGAACTGTATTAAAGCATGGATGGCAGATAATTTTCTCCAGTTAAATGCTGAAGAAAAAGAGGTTCTTATCTCAGCACCCGAGCATGCTGTGCCAAATGTAAGGAAAAGTCTTGATGTCTTACCCTCTGCTGTAAAACCTTCTGTCAGAAACCTGGGTGTCCAGATGGGCAAGGCCCAAAGTCTGGAGCAGCATGTAAATGGTCTGGTTCGCTAAGAAATATTTCCAAGCTCAGACCCATAGTGTCTAGGAATGAGCTTGAGATGATTGTTCATGCCTTTGTCTCATCTTGTCTGGACTATTGCAATTCTTTGTTCATTTGTTTAAATACCTCTTCTTTGAACCAGCAAGTGGGTTCAAAATGCTGCAGCTAAGCTCCTGACGAGATCACCCAAATGGTCTCATGTCACATCCATCCTCAGGTCTTTACACTGGCTCCCCAATCAATTCAGAATCCAATTTAAATTACTTGTTCTTGTGTTCAGAGCTTTGCATGGACAAGCTCCAGCATATATCAGAGACCTGCTGAAGCCTCAAAGGTCCTCTGACCAGGGCTTTTGCTGGTTCTCCCCCAGACTAGACTACGAACTTCAGGAGTCTGTGCATTTGAGTTTTTTGCACCAAAATTTTGGAACTCTCTCCCCTGAGAACTGAGGACTGTGGACACTGTGGATACATTCAAAATGTGGGTGAAAACCCACTGTATAAACTTGCCTTTGTATAACCAGGACTTTGGCTACAAGTGAACTTTTTGTTGATGTTTATGTCTTGTTGTCTCACACTTTTTAATTTGATGACTGTGAAGCACTTTGTGACAACTGTTCTACAAAGGTGCTATACAAATAAAGTTTATTATTATCATAAGACGACATCATGTAATGGCAAAGTCTATAAAAAGTAGTTTTTAAAAGCAGTGACTGTTTCTACACACCTTATCTCCTTGGAAATATCATTTCAAAGTCGAGGGGCCTTGGTGGGAGAAGGTCCTGCTACCTTTAGTTACAAGTCTTGACTTTGGAATGACCAGGGGGCCTCCACCCAAGGATCTCAGGGTGCAGGCTGGCTCATAGGGCGTTAAAAGTTTTGTTTTATAGATTCGAACCAGACCCTTTAGTGCTTTAAAAGTAATGAGTAAAATCTATAGACTATTGTATTGATAACTTTACTTAGCCTCCCATGATTGTACGAATCTAAAGTCAAAATGCTCCCAGTATTTCAGAGAATTTTCTTCACTTCCATTTGCGCTGTAGTGTTTCGTGGACGAATGTTGTGATGACGCTCTTATCAAACAGTGTATCCCCTGATGTCCTATGCATCTTGGTATGCCCATTTACTGTTTCAAGTGTCAATCATGAACCCCCAATAACTTAAAAAAATGGAGCTGCACAGAAAAAAGAGGTCTCAGCAGAAAACAGTCTAACGATAACTATATGTCAACATCGCAACCAGGGAAAAGAACCACTTGATTTTAATAACCTCTAAATTGTTCCAGGAGACAACTTGGTATAGGAGTGGTAGGAATGTATACTAAGTGTTGTAGGAGACACTACTCTGCAAACCATTTTACTGAAGCCTTTTTTTTGACCACAGCAAAAAACGAAAACATAAGACTCAGGCTTGAAAGAATGGACACACATACCTAAAATGTGTGTAAGCTAAGCAGAAACACAAGGTAGTTGAGTGGTTTAAAAACTAGGCTTTAGTAGGAAACAGCTGCAGTTAACTGTGCAGCTCACACGACCGCTGAAGATTAAAACAGAGTCGAGCAAATCTCCGTATGAGCTGTGGTACACACATGCCTTAGGCCTCAATGTGTCAGCATTAGGAGGCACGTGTTGAACTGTTGTTGTACTCACAGGTAAGACTGCCCTCTTGGGTATTGTTGTGATAATAAATGACTCTCAGTAGCCATTTATTTCCCTTCAAGGATCTCAAGCGCAGCGATATGATGCTAAAGGATTCTGAGCATTAAATGATAAATGTGTTAGGAGCTGATAATCCGTTGCACGTAATATCTGAATGGAGCACCAGCTGCGTTTGTTTCGTAGAATAATGAATCATTGTTGGTGTTTTGTAGCCTTGACAAACTGTAAATGTATCATCCTTTGTTTTAATACTGTAATTTGAAGCATGTACTTTAGATATTAGTTGAGACATGGCTCTAAAAAAACACATTTCTTTCTTACTTAATACAGTGGCATCATCAGTGGCGTCTAAATAATTTTGTGATATTTCATAGTATATTTATATATATTTTATATATGTTAATGTGAATTCAATATAAAGTGGCCAGAATATGAGTTTGAATAAGTAATTATATCACCTCGTCATTATTCACTTAAATATGATCATAGATTTGTCAGTGCCACGCGCAAGCCAATCAAATAAAGTATATCTGCTGAACAGCCAATCAAAAAGCCGCATTGCTGTTACCGGGTAGATTTTGATATCTTGCGGTTTGACTACAGAAGAAGACAGACACTCGCTGAAATAGAGCAGGTTTCATAAGGACAAGAAAGACCCAATGATTACAGTATGATTTTGTGCTTGTGTGCTGCGTTCACTCACATCCTGTGCATCTCCTGGGGACTAAGCCCCCCCTGTCCTTAAAACCTAGTGATGCCCCTGGCTCAATATGTATTTCATTTGCAATGCATTATCTGTGGTGCTTTCAGCTGTGATTCCCCAAAGGAACAGTTTCTTGTTTCAGCTGGATTGTATAAAGAACTGAGAGAAAACATTCTTATTCCACGACATGCTGGTCACCTTCACCCGTGATACGATTTTGCTCATTTTAAGAACGTTCAACCCAAACACCAACATCTAAGAAGATGTATATTATATTCATAATATTTTTAGTGCTCTATTTTCCCATCAAAAAGCCTCTTTGTTTAAGCTGTACTTATCAGGAGCAGGACATACATGCTTCTTCAACAGTACTGGCTATCATGCACGCTCAGAAAGGGACAAAACACAACTGAACTGATTCAAATCTGTGATTTCAGTCGGACTTCGAAGTACCTTTATTGTTGGTGCAGAAGTATACCTCTCTGCACTCGAGTACAGAGTGGAAGGAACATGACTCAGCTCAACAAGACAAAAGGGAGAAAGCTTTACTTAACTGAAGCGCAGAAGAGATTTCAAGTTACCGAGTGCAGGTAACCTCAGACAGCTACTGCTGTTGTGAATGGGACTAAAAATCAGCAGTATGTTATTTCAGGCCTGAATCCGAGGAAAACCAGCCACTCACATACAGCTGCAGACCGCACCACTCCAGAGTTTTACCACAATCCATCCCATCTAGCCTGGCTCCATGTAGATTCACTGGCTTACTTCTCAGTAATACAGCAGAGCTGACCACAATCTCCTGTGGGCAATGCACAAGTATTAATAAGTGCCTCATGTAACCCAACTTTGAAATATCCGAACTATCCCTTTAAGGTGTAATTGCAGTAATGCAATTCTATCAGCTTTTCAGCAGAAGGTCAACTTTAAAAGGTTTCCATTACTGAAAAGGTCAGTGCTTCCAGGTGTGGAGAAGTGCCTGAGCAGGAATGGGAAAGTCAAAAACATTGGAACAACATTTGAATTAATGAGTTGTCTCTAGATTTATTGAGCTTTTTCTGTGTTTATGAGAACGCTGTCAAAGCTGGTAAAAGGTATCACAACTGTTTTTATACACACTGTTAGCGAATCTGTCATTCTGAGTTTGCCCTTGCACACATGAATAGGAATACGTGAAGAGAAAAGAATATCTTGATGTCTAGACAAACTCCAATTTCAATGAAGTGAGGACATTGTGTAAAACATGAATAAAAACAGAATACAATGATTTGAAATTCTTTCCCATTTTTCTTTTTTTTTAAAAAAATATTCACTCTTAAGACACAGTGCTGTAACACGTGCAGAAAGTGTCTCTGCTCTGTCTTGCTGAAATAAGTGTCCCTGAATAAGATTCGGCTCTTATGGCAGCATATGTTGCTCCGAAATCTGTATATACCTTTCAGCATTAATGTTCCCTTCACAGATGTGACAGTTAAGAATTATTTATCCCTGAAGGGAAAGTCAAGTTTGCCATAGATACTAATACACCCCCAGACCATCACAGATGCTGGCTTTGAACTCTGACCTGAGAACAGTCTGGATGGTCCTTTTCTGCTTTAGTCTGGCGGACACGACGTCCATGATTTCCAAAATCAGTCTGAAATGTGGGATTGCACTCGTAGATATGGACACAAACCATGTTAACTGACAATGGGATGATGTGGGTTTTGAAGAGTCAAAGGTCGGAGTCAGTGAGTGATGGTTTTGGGTCTTGCTGCAGAGATTTCTCTGATTTTCAGAATCTTTTAAAGATTTTATGGACAGTTGATGATCAAATCCTGAAATTCCTGCAGTTGTACTTTGAGAAACATTATCTTTAAACTGTTGGACGATTTGCTCACGCAGTTGTTGACAAAGTGGTGAACCTGAATCTTGCCCCACCCTTGCTTGTGAAAGATGGACTCTTTTGGGAATGCTCCTCTTAAAAAAGTGAATATTTAAAAAACAAAGTACTAAAGCTTATCAGTGTGAACTTGAAATATCTCGTCTTTGTCGTGTTTTTAATTTTATATGTTGAAAGGATTTGTAAATCATTGTATTGTGTTTTTATTCATGCTTTACACAACATCCCAACTTTAATTGAATGTGAATTTTTTACTTATTTTTCTATTTATTTTTATTCATGTATATATTCATGTATGTATTTGATTAATTACTTGATTGTGCGGGTATATAACGGTATGGGTTTATTCCTCCACTACCCAAAGTGGTAGCTAGGGGGTGCACTGTGGACACTGTGTGGTCATAGGCAAGCGAGAAAGGGTGTGTGTGTGTGTCTCAGTAATGTATTCCTGCCTGTGGCTGGGATGGTCACATGGGGAGAGCAGTCTGTATAAAACAGCCTCAGCTCTCTCACTCAGAGCAGTGCCAGACACAGAGACAGAGGCACACGTTCTCTCTCTCTCTTTTGCTTTGACACACGCACACACATGCTTATGCACACAGACAGCAACTTTGCTCAACTGGACTGACACAACACACACATCGGGATAGACACTCCCCTCGCAACAGTGGAGAAGACGATAAGGAGTGATAAGGAAAAAAGAAATTCAGACAGAGAGGAGGCTCCTAGTGAGTAGCCCATTGATTTTCATATTTTTCTTATTGTCATATCTGGACTTTTCTTCAGCACTGTGTGACCGGGACTCGCCAGGCGCTGAGAGGGAGAAGGAGAGTGGGAAGGAGGGGACTGGGAGGAAAAAAAGGGAAGGTGACAACGGAGATGTGGAGCTTGTGCAACATCATGATACCTCTCCATCAATCTGTCCCTCTGTCTGTGGAATCTAATGCTGTTAATTAGCAGGGTTCGCGTGGAATGAGAGGAATGCCAGTGCGAGGAGCTAAAGTGGGGTTTGCTTCAGACTCTTAAGCTTTCCTGTGTGTATGTGTGTCTGTGGCATGTCCTCTCTGAAATTTTGCATTTGTGTGCCGGGTATAATGTGGTGTTGGGTAGTACTGATGTTGAACAGACTCAGTGCTGAGGCTGTGATTAATACAAACCCATTGATATGCAGAAAGAACGGGACAGAACGCCGCTCTTGTTCAAGTGATATGAGTGATGTTGTGGGAGAAAGAGGACAGTCATGCTCCTTCTCCTCTGTCCAACTGTGTCTGTATCCATCTGTTCCTCTCTGTCCTACTGACTTCCTGTCTCTGTTTCTTTCACCCTCCCTTGTGACATCCCTGTCCACTGGTGTTGGTGCTACCGCTGCTCTCTTCTCCCATTCTGCCTTTGACTTGACATAATTCCTCTCTGCTCTCGTCTTTTCGTGAACTTTCTCCACGTCTGTTTATCCACGTCCCCTAAGGTCATTTTGTTATCTTTTCATCCGTCTCATATTGCTTTCCATCTCGTTTTCTCCCTCATGCTGGTACGTGCTTGTATACACTGTATAGATACCTCGGTTGTGTAGCAGAAGAGAATCGCAGAGGAATTGTGATGAGGGAGAGAGGGGAGGGGAGAGAGAGAGACAAGAAGTGAGAGAAATGAACGAGCAAGTGGAAGGATTGGGAGGGGGGTTTTTGGGAAGCATTGAAAAAGGCTGACACTGGCTCGGACAATTAGCCTGAGGAGTCCGTCCTGGGGTGCTATTCTGAAAGGAGCTTTGGCCCCTGGGCCCTGGGCGCTGGGTCATGGGATGCCTTGACCCCTCTAGTCGACAGCTAGGCATGGGAGCCATTATCACAGCCTGATTGATTAGCACTAAGCGGAAATCCCTTTTCTCTTCTCTCCTCAGGAGAAAGAGACAGGAGCTTTTTTGTCTTTTTGCTGCTGGTTTAGTGTCTGCCTGCCTGAGTGTGGAGAGCTCCAGCATTTTTCCAGTTGTCAGTTATGGGGGTCTGGTCTCTATATATCTTCTCTCTCTCTCTGGGCTCGTCTTTTACCCTCTAACTTTCTTTCTTCTAGGCAACATGTGTGTGTGTGTGGTTGGGTGGGTGGGTGTGGGTATGTCTCAGCATGTTTGGTGAAGTCAGAACAATATATATACAACTAACAAGACAGGGACGTGACCCTCGTAGATAGAATAATTGTTGGGGGACCTCCTTGTACCCACACGTTTGATCTGTTTGTGTTTTTCACAAAGCTCCAGATCAGTGTTTGTAACCTCTGCGAAGTGTGCACCTGCAGTAGTTGTTAGTGGTGCGTTTTATCGGCTGTCAGGAAGAGAAAAGGCGCTTTAGAGAAATCTTGGTTAAAAAGGAGAATGCAATGAAAGAAAGGGGAGTGAGAGAAGAACACACTGAATCATTTTTATCTTCAGTGTTTCCTTTCTATTGCATCTGTCATTTACCTGTTCTGATATGACTATTTCCATCCCTAGCAAACGTGCTCTTCCTCATATCCCCCCCTCCCATACTGGGAGTTTAGCAGGGTGTTTAGCCCGGCTCATGGCTGATCAAAGCAGTGTGTGTCAGACTGGGCTTAGCCCAGGCGCTGCTAATGGAGCTCCGTTTTCATGCCTAGTTGGTAGTGGAGCGGGAGGGAGAGATGGAAGGTTGAGGGAAGAAGCAGAGGAGGGGGTGCAAATAGAAAGGCTGACAGAAAGAGTTCAATGGAGGGAAAGACAGCTAGACAGATGGAGAAAGGGCTACAAACAGGACCAACACAGGCAGGCAGATGAGGGCAGACAGGCAGGGAAAGCAGTAGACAGTAATGATTTACAAGCAAAATTGGCAAAAGATGAAAAGGAAACCGGAGCGAAAAAATACAGATAGACTGGGAGGTGGAACAATGCTCGCTGTCAAAAGCACACAAGGCACTAAGTCCTCAACATGCATATAAAGAATCAGGAGGTCAGGCTGTGAGCAAAGAGGGAGAAATTAAACACCTCTCCAACCTTTTTGATGGATGGACCTGGCATTAGCAGAGCATACAGTTAAGGTGAGCAATAGATAGATCATGCATATGGTTTAGTTCTAGACTGGAAGCAGCATAAGGCGGGAAGAGGTCTGTGTGTATTTGTGCTCATGTGTGTGTCAGACTTTAAAAAGCTGTCTAGATCTCTGTGATGACTTGTGACATTTAGGCCATTTTTTTAAAACTCAAAGATCAGGAATCATTTACTTGAAAAGAAAAATAAAGTTACTGCCTAGCCTTCTTCGCATTACCTTCCCATTTTTCCCTCAAACTTCCCTGGATTGTCCTCTGAAATTTATTTACTTTTGCCTTTTTAACCCTCCTTCTCCGTTGCTAATTCCTCATCTCAATCCTCTCTTGTTGTCTCCTAAGCCCACTTACCTCCTTTACACTTCTTTTTTTTTGACTCTTGCCTGTCCTCTCCCATCGCCAATTTACAATAGTGGTGTTTATACTTCAGACTGATAAAAGGTAAGGTAAAACCAGGATAATATTTCCCTTTACATACTTACTGCCTGAGCAAACAGCCTCCGACAGATGTCCGAGCTCGGGCCTGATCAGAGGAGGGCTTGAGGGGGGTGGATCATGAATCTTACTGCTGTAATGTACACAAAGGCTGAAAAATTGGAAGCTGGTGTGGAGAGGGGTAGAGAGAGCGTTTTGGAGGCACAGATGTAGAAAAAGACAGTGACTTTTCTCGCTCTTAAACAGAAACATGCTTGGAGGGAAAGAGAGGGTGAGCTCTGTAATGCTTCATTATTTAAATACAATCAAAGAAAAGTGTTATTTTTAGTTTGAGAAAATTAATTATTAGTGCTATACTACTTCTACTTTAATTACAGATATAATCTATATCTTTGATTTACTTGTTATAAATACTCTAATCCCGGTAGATTAAGACCTGAATGCAGTTAGATTTACGTGAGGTTTGTAAGGATTGGGAGTTGAGTATGAGATAGAGAGAAGGAAGTAAGAAGAAGACAGTTATAAGATTGACAAGAAGCTTGTTAATTGTGTTTGCGTGTGCTTGTACACGTCAGATAACAAACGCAGAGAGAGCTTTTTACACAGCAAACCTCTGAACAGGAGCAGCGACATTAGAAAGCCAGCGCTCACAGCTCTGCTCCCACGCTCTCTCCTTCTTCACCAACTCCCTTTCTCTCCTTAGTCAGATATGCCACTTGCTGACTGCTTTTATCTAAATGCACCTGAGGGTGTGAAAACATGACAAGATTTTGTTAAGATTTGGCCCCAATTAAGCTGCCTCACATGCATTTCAGAGATGTGCACTTTACCACAGTTTCCTCTCTGCTGCCTGGGCAGAAGTTCTGGCTTAGGGGCCACGGAGTGTGTAATTATTTCTAGAATCCAGAAGAGCTCTTGTGATTTCTTTGCACATTACATGGAGAGAATAAGCAGAAATTAAACCACTCTTCACTGCTGTAATGCTGTGCATGTCTTGAACCTATGGGTCAGGGCTTGATTTGAAGTTCAGTGAAAAATACTCTTAACTCTCCGTGGCTGAGACAATCAGTCTTGTGTGAGGAGATACTTCATTGTTCGTGTTTTGTATTTGTTTGTGTGGTATTCAGAGAGGGGGAATGAGGTATTGCTCACAAAGAATTAATTCCCACAGGCACAACTCTCATAATGTGGCAAAATCCCATTGAATCAGAAAATTGTTCAGACTGCTCCCCTGCTTCATCCTGCAAATGTATGAAAGGAAAGAGGGTAGCTGGAAATTCTGAGTCAGTACGAGCATCTTTAGTCTGGTTCCCTTGTGCACCATCTCTCTCTCTCTCTCTCTCTCTCTCTCTCTCCCTCTCTCTCTCTCTCTCTCTCTCTCTCTGTCTCTCTCTCTCTCTCTCTCTCTCTCTCTCTCTCTCTCTCTCTCTCTCTCTCTTCTCAGTACATGTAATTTGGCAGGTGTTCAGTGAATATTGGTAGTGCCTGTCTGACAATCTGACAAATGCTCAATTTCCACCTGTGCACATAACAAATGCACATAACCTTCACGGCTCTTTCCAAAGATAAACTTTTTAAAATAGTCAAGTGACAAAGTTTTGTCAAAACAAATGAGAGCACTTTTAGTTTTATATCGGATTTAGAGTTTCAAATTGTGTGGGCCCAGCACATGTGTGCTATCCTTAATCCAACATAGAGAGAATCCTGCTGTCTGAAATGGTCTGCCCAGATAATAATAATAATAATAATAATAATAATAATAATAATAATAATAATAATAATAATAATAATAATGATAAGAATAAGAATAACAACAATAATAATAATAATGATGATGATTGTTGTTAATAATATTATTGTTGTTATTTAAAATAATAATATTAATAGTTTCAATAATAATGATTCATTGTTTACATTAAGTTGTTACAATAGACAAAAATAACAATTAAAATAATAATGAATGTATGCTTATTATTATTGTTTATATTGAATTTTTATTATTGTTTTAAAATTGTTATTGTTATTTGTATCTATATGTGTTTCAGGTGCTTGTAACTTGCAAGCAGCAAGGACCTAACAAAAACTTGGTCTGAAAAGCGATATATATAATATAACAAAAAAACTGTATATTTCTCTAAATAATGAAAACTATGATTACAGTCAGTCAGGTAATTCAGATTTAAGTACCATTACCAAGGTTGAACATACTCTCTTTCTGTTTTTGCCTCCTCTGCATTTTCATCCTAAATCAGCTCTTCATCCAGCCCCTGTAGCATTTGTGCAACTGAAGCAATGCAAGAGTTTGACTCCTCTAACTTTCTGATCAAAGCAAATCAGGGATGAAAAGAGAAAATTTGATCAACCCTTTTATGACGATGCACCACTCATACACCCAATACTGAAACTAGCCCCGCTTTGTACACGTACGTGCACACACATACCAAAGGAAATACAAACCACTTGATAAAAGACGCACACTTTTATCCTTGTATTCCTGAAACACACAGGCACAAGCCTAATTTTCCATTCTGACACAAAGTGCTTGCAGTCATTTAGAAATCTCTTGAAAACACCTACACTGCATGCTAAAGTGCATGTTGAGGGAAGTAAAGTAAATGTACCCTCAGGCTACAGTACAAGATAAAATACAGTACTATTTATACAGTACTGGTCTAAATGATGAAAACTGAGAGGAAACAGTTTTCCATTTGTTGTTCTCATTGTTGTTGTATTTGTTGTATCAGCACATTTATGATGGATATGCTGTTCAGGTGTTGTTTTGTTTACTTGGCAATAACCTCCAAATATGAGAACTTAAAAGTTTGGTGTATATTTTTTTAATAAATCATGTCACACTCTGGTCAGAATTCTATGGATACTCCATAAAACAATACAAGTACTGCTTATCCCTACTGACACTTATCAAGACTGTTATCTAAGCTTATATAATAACTACAGGGTTTTATATGAGAGCTGTGGATTAAACCTGCATAAGAGCTGGGCTGATCCCCTCTGCAGCATTTGCATTTTGGCCGCCAGGACAAACTACACGCCTTATCATCTGAGGTGCCTCAAGGGTCAGTGCTTGGTACTTTCCTCTTCTCGACATACACCACCTCACTTAGTGCAATTATCCACTCACGGTTTCTCATATCACTGCTCTGCAGATAAACCTGGGTGTCGTGATTGATGACCTATGACCCCCCCCGACTTATGTGGCCTCAAATGTGAGGTCATGTTGATTTAGAGGCTCAAAGTGTGCCTGGCAGAGTATGCAACACACCCCCTGGTACATGCTATAGTAATGTTCTGCATTGACTACTGCAGCTTCTTCACGGCAGGCCTTCTTGCAAGCCAATTAAAACCTTTGCAGATAATTTAGAATTTAGCAAGTTGTTCACAAACCCCAAACGTGATGCTACTTAGTTGTTCATTCATTTCTATTTGCCTCAAGTTGCCACTAGCATCAAATTTAAAACCTTCCTGCACACCCAGAACTTCTTCAGGGCTACATTTGCAGAGTTTAACTTGCCAATGAAAGGCACCTGGTACTCTCATACCAACAGGGCCCTAAGTCTCTGGCCAGACTCTCCTCCTCTGTTGTCCCTTGGTGGTGGAATGGGTTACCTAGGTTACCAAACTCTGTTTGAACCACAGAATCCCTTTCCCTGTCAATACAAAGCTAAAGACCCAGCTCTATTGGGAACATCTATGCTCCTAAGCTAGACTCTTTTCCTCTGTAGTCCCCGGCAATGGAATGAGCTGCTAGGTTGCATTCAAGCCTCAGAGTCCAAAAGTTGAAGACCGAGCTCTTTGCAAACTGCTTTGTGTTTTGCAGTTTGGTGTGTAGAGAGATGATGTTGATAGTAAAGGGATTGATGATGATCATGATCATGATGACGATATTGAGGTTCCATAAAGATAGCAATGCTGCAGCGACAGCACACAGCCCTACTTCTTTACAGCCTGTTTATTGTCTTTAGCACTGAACATCAGAAACTGTGTCCAGTTCAACTTGAGGCAGTTAGTGGTGCTTGTTTATGTCATTTCCCTCAGATCTTTGCATGTGTTGTGCTTTTTTCCAGATGAATTAACTTGTAGCCGTAACACAAACAGTGGTGTAAGCCTTAGCAGTCATGTACACTGCATTGCTTCATATTTATAGAATATGACTAATTGGAAAGAGACTGTTCTTTTGAAAAGTTCATGTTCAATTATAAGTATTTATTCTATTTCATCTCAGCGCACTTTCAGCTTATTTATCATAGCTCTTATTTATGGTTGTTATCAGTTGTTTTACGCTGAATTACTGAGTGGTGGCTGCGTGAAATACAACTTTGATTTCATGTGAAGCATAAAAATGACAAATAAAGGGATCAAAATCAGAAAGCTGAACTTGTTTTCTGTTGGGTTGCTACATTTAGATGCACCCACCTTTATACATAGTGTAACACACCAAGATGTACCACAGTGAGCACAAACTCTCTGTCTGCTGTGAGACCACAACATGGTTGTCTGATGCCAGCAAATTTGGCATCTCAAGGCTACAGATGCCATTTATGTTCGGATGAAACAGCTAAATCAAAACAACATAAAAACAAGACAAAATTGCACTTAATACCAATTGCAGTACCATTGGATATGATTCTACCTGTCGATTTTGATCAAAGTTTGTGATCTAATGTGAAGCCTATGGTAAAATAACCATGTCGAGAATATTTTTCTACAAATTCATCGGTAGGATGTGACAAACTTATCAGTCTCTGTGCAAAAGTGGCATCTTCTCCTAGTTAAGAATCTTTTTTCCTTTTCATCCTGATCTAAAATGAATCATGGCACCACTGGTCTAGAAGAGAGCCATTATGACACTGATGCATGCAAATGCCTGAAGGGAAGATGGGAGTTTCAGTATCAGCAACAGAAGGGACTAGGAAAAGGTGTGATGAAATGTGACATTCTTATTATGAAATAATCAGTTTTCAATTGACATGCCGTGAAACTTTTCCTGTTTCTTGCATTTAAGGGTAAAGTCGGGGGAATAAGGAACTTAATGAAGAATTCAGATTTGGGCAATGTGGCCGGTAGCTGATAAGAAATTGGACCTCTGTAAAGAGATGAATGATATGGATGGAGAGATATGAATCCCACTTCATATCACCCACCTTAGATTTATTTACATGTGCGTGTGTGTTTGTACGCTTTAGTTTTCTTCCTGTATCTTTTTCATTTGAGTGTGTGACTCCACTGCCATCACATTTGAGTGTGCATTTCTTTGTGAGAAAAAGAAACAGAAGGAGAAAGAGAGTGCATTTTTCAGAGCCAGTGGCTTTCAATCTATTAAAGCCTGATTCTTAAACACTAATCAATGCACCCTTTTATATTTCCATTACAGTGGGAAGGTATGAATTAAGTATGACAGTAGAGCACAGTAGTAGCTTCATAACCCTGAGGAAAATAAAGGTTATCCACATTCAAAAGGATAGGCTGGTATTAATGTCGTTTTTATCAAAACAGGAAGAAAAGGGTTTTGTGTTCCTCTGTGGGAAAAATCATCTTGAGAAAAGCTTTAATTTCATGCTGTATGCTCGTACCATTTAACATTTTTTGTGCTACCAAAGGTTCATGCAAGACACAAAGTAGGCAGTAGATGGTCCAATAATCAAGTAAACAGCTTCTGCCAGGATGTCCTTAAAGTCTTTTACATGGTGGTAAAATGGTAATGAGTACACCTTGGATGCATTTATAAAAAGAGACAATATCCACAAGAATCCATGTATTACATTATCTTAATGCAAGCAGCCCAAGTAACCATTGATGAATAAGCTTTTGGTCAATGACAAACGTCTTCTATCTCTTTCATTACAAAGCTCGGAGGAATCAGCCAACGATGAATGAAATGTAACTTCTACAGCCGGCCCAATCACATCCGTGTCTCTTCCTTAAAGGATGACAAATGTGTATACTGACACCAAATCTTTTCAATCGCCCAGATCATGTCTTGCATAAGATCTGAGCTTTTTATTCCGCGTGGGTCTATAAGCAGCCTCATGCCACTGGCCTCCCACTATTCTTTTTTTCTTCTCCAAATGTTGTGTTTGCTGTATTGCATCATATATTCCCTCTGGACTGTGTTAAATTGGTGATATATGCACTGTAGCATGCAGCTGTCAAGAGAGAATACATTCATGCTATGGAGCCCACAGTGTGTGCTCCTGTTTTAGGCATGATATACAGGAAATAACTGCAGTGGAACAGGAAGCCCCGCTTGCCCCCACGTCTTTCTCTCTCTATTCCTGTCTTTCTTTAAAGTGACTAAACTGATGGGTTTTGTTTCATCTCACAGCACACTTTATTAGCTATGTCTGTTTGTGCACATGTCCCTCAACCCTAATTAATTTAATGTACTTAAGTACCAGATTTGCATTAGAGAGCGCTGGCCTTTGGAGTATACTTTATTGGTGTTGTCTTAGTAACCTGCATCTCTTGTCCCTGCCTTTCAGCCTGTCCCCTCAGACACACACACACATGCACAGATTTATTCCATTTCACTCACCCAGCCTTATTTTCTTTGGGGAAGTGTAAGTCTGTGTGCGTGTGTGTGTGTGCGTTTTCTTCTTTTTTTTTCCTTTTTGCTTCACTGTGGTAGTTTATTAGGGATGTCTCCTTTGATAGTTAGTGAGCACGCGTGATTATGGCTGAAAGGGATTGGGCCGGGCGCTGGGCCGGAGGAAGTCTGCCTAATGATATTAACAACATCCTTTATTGGCCAGCTACTGCAGGGAGAGGGAGGAGAAGAGCAAAGAGAGGGAATGGGAGGGGCGGGAATAGAATGAAAGAACTGGGTGTTAGAAGGAAAGGGGAAAAAGAGGGAAGAGAAAATTTAAGGTGAATGAAGGAGATGGTATGCTGAGGGCACTGGGTTACCAAGTCTAGAGGATTTACCCTGAATTAAAAACAAGGAAGAGGTTGATAGACATGAGGGAGATTAAAATAAAATAGGACAAAATTAAAAGGAAGAGATAATCCCTGACCCCTCATTGTAGAGACTCTTTCTCTGTCTAAACAAATTTCACAGAGGTGTTTATCCCAAAGTTCAAATTGATTAGCAGCCCTATCTGTCTTCATCAAACAGTAGAGGTCCATTAAAGCTCAGTGGTCAGTGTCTGAAAATTAAACAGGTTAAATAGAGGTACTCTTTAAAATAATGTTATGGCAGACGCTTTAAAAACTTCTCCAGTTTAGGGTGGTGATGGGAGGTGAAGAAGGTCTTGTGTTTACCAAGAAATTTTCAGTGAAATTTGTGTCTGAAATTAGAAGAAGCTCTGAGCTAAACAGTGTGGTAAATATATATATATATTTTTTGTTGATATTTTGCTTTAAGGGTGAAATATTGTTGTATGAGTTGAGTCTTTTGCATTCACAGTTCTGTTCTTGCACATGGATGAAAGACTAATTAGTTGTTTTTTTTTTCTTTGTTGCTGCAATTTCTGAATTAAAAAAATAAATAAAATCAGCACGCAGTTTTACACCCTCTGGGACAAAAGTGTGCATCAAACCACACATGTTCTCCCCTATCTAATGCACAAACAACAACTGACACAGTGTTGATTGTTGAGCAGCACAAATCCTCATCCGCACTAACACTCAGTGAAAGCTGTCACCTTGAGAAGCCCCGCGCTACATCAGAAAATGTCAAGGCTTGCAATTTCCTCTATTTACCCTGGCAAGGTGCCAAAGATCCTAAACCCCACCTAGATATATGTGCCTCTGTGCTGTGTGTGTTTGTGTGTGTTTGTGCTTGCGTGTGCGAGTTCATTTGTCTGCAGCTGTGTGCTAGCAAGTTTGTTTGTTTGTTTGCAGGCGTGCTAGTCTCTCTATCTGGATGTGAGTGTGTCCGTGGAGTTATGTGGGGATTTTGTTTATGTCTCCGAGTTCCTCTGGTTGCAATTGTGCCTTTAGTGTGTATGTGTGCGAACTCGGGAGAGACAGGGATAGACAAATAAACTCATTCTCATGCACTGTGTCTCTCTGTTAGCAGTGTCAGCATCTCTCTGCACCCGTGGCTAAAGAGAAATCAAATACACACAGTCAACAGTCGTGCTGTCATGAGCTCACACACTCACGACTTGGCACACTAACACGTATATTCACAGGCTGGAGTTTGATGCATTAATAACATCTCAAATAGCCTAAGTGTTATCCCGCGTTGACAGGTTACATGTTGGCATGTGGGTGTTACAGACAGAATAGTGACAGTGATAAAAGCGCTCTCTATATCAGTGTGATTGTGTGCATCTGTTAAAGACAGACAGAGAGAGAGATTGAGAGAGGTCCAAACATTTGGTCGCTTAACTCTATCGCCCCTCAAAAGGAAGGATTAAAACTACAGAGTCACTTTGTATGACTGCAGCTGCTGACACGGTGTTTGTGTGTTTCTGTCAGTAAGTGGACCATGTGTCTGGCTGCACCATGCATCTTAGTGCCACCGTCTTGACGATTGTTATATGTGAAATACTCTTACCTACCTTTGATCAAATATGTGTCCAACTATAAGACTGCTTCTACATTTGAAGCTTTAGTAAAATCACTAAAGGAGGAGCAGGTACCTGATATCTACGTGCTGCAGCAAATGAACATTATACATATGGAGATAACCCGGCAAAAACAAAAGTGGATGGAGCATGTAAACTGGCTGCCTGGTGCACCACAGTTGTATGGCCAATGAATTGATGCCCAAACACTGTGGCTCAAACACCAGCTGAACACACCATCTGTTTCTCTGCAATCCTACTCATTAGGGACATGTATTTTAATTTATTTTTATTTCCCTTGTCATGATGGGTAAAACTATCACCCTTCTAATTTCTACTACAACAGTACACTTGTCATTTCCTATCCATTATGGATTTTGATATGTTTTTTTTTTATCACACACCTTTTATGATTTTCAGCAGATTTTCCCCAGATTTCGATTCTTATCATTTTATCTTCATGGCAGAAATAAGCATTTGAAGACAGAACAGTTGAGGTGAAATCTGACTATTTATTCAGTTATTTATTTATAAGCCCAACTGTCCACAGCTGATATTTGCGACTGTTTCCTGTTCATAATGACTTTAATGAGAGAAAAGCACTGGGTCCATCAGCTGAAGGCTGCAGTCATGCTAGCTTTCTGCATCCCTCCTTTCTCTTTCATGGCCACCAACAACATCCTGTGGTGTCATTGTTGTTAAGCACAATGAAAATGAGTCTGTTAAAGGGACATGAGACATTTTGATCAGGATTGCATGATGGAGAGACTTGTTCAAGTTTTCTTTTTCCTCTTTCTGTGAGGCCCTAAATTTTGACAATCCCTTGACCAAGAGTGTTGCCGTACACAGGACATTTGTCAGGGATGTGTGAGATACTTCCTGCCTATTTAAGTACATATACTCCCGTGTCAAATATCATATAGAGTATCTGTGCTGATGTGTGTGTGAGCAGTGGATTGGATTTCACTGTGAAGGCACGTTGAACAGTCAGTTAATTTCCTGCCACACGTTGTGTTATTGTCTCGATGACAAACACACACATTCCTGATGCATCGTTGGCCGTGGACATTATGGTCCCACATATATTTTATCTCTTAAAGTCTGGGAAGTATTTTCTTGTATATTTATAAATTAAAAAAAGAAAAAGGAAGAAACTATAAGAGGAACGGGCAAACCATGTGTTTAAGTTCTACTTCTAAAAGGCTGTTGTTTAGCCAATAAGATTTTAGTCTTCCTTAAAGCTATAGTGCATAACTTCTATCAGCCCCCTAGAGGATTCCTGCGGTACCTCAATATGATGTATGTCCCAGTATAACCCGTACTCGGTCCAGTACATGTAATAGCAACACATCCTGTTCGTCACTTAATTATCCAGCAGTATCATGGCAACATCGGTGTCGGACCTCAGTCCAATCTCCTCCTTCAGGGCTCGCCATTGAGGAAAAGTGATGAGGAAAAGTCTTCTCCATTTGTTACTCTCTTTCTTCCCCAACAGACCTTCTGCCGAACAGAAAGGCTTTTCCTTTTTAGTAGGATCCACTTCTCAACCTCTTGGTGACTTCTCCGGGTCTCTCCGCCATGTTGCTACTAGCAGCGCTCTCCTCCCCCCTCCCGTTTTGTTGTCAGATAAAACCGAGTAGAACGTATCATATCCTGTGGGCTAGTGCAGGAATGTCACCCCCCAACACCAAATACAAATAGAACAAATTCTTAACAAAAAAAAAACGAAAAAAAAAACGCGAGGTGTTAGAGGAGCTGAACAGCTTAATCAGAGTTGTATCATCCCCTCTTGTAGTGGTTCGGGTCAAACAGATATTTATAGACACGTAGAAGTTACGCATTGTAGCTTTAATTTGATTGTACTGAAAAAGATGTCAGGAAAGCTTGCACAACATTTGGACTGGGAGCGTGTTTCTCATATTTAACACACTTTACTCTCAAATTCAGATAAGGACCTAAAATCCTTGAGCAAAGAGACCAGTTGACTTTGAAAGACAGTGTATGTAGCGTACAAAGAGGTTTGTAGACAGCTCATAAGAATGTGTTAAGCCATGTCGAGCCTCAGCTGATAAAAACAGACACATGATGCCAAAGAACAACATTTTAACATATGTCAGACTTTCCTCCAGAAGCAATATGCTAAAAAGAGCTTTCAAACCGGAGGGGAACCGCGGTCTGTGAAGAATAAGTGAGTGTTTGTAGTGGCAGAGGGGGGGCTGACATGGCTGCAGGCATCTCTACTGTTGAGAAAAGTTAAGGAGGTTTAGCTCGAGTGTGAAATCCATATTGAAGCCCTTCGGTTATGCTCGGCTAGGCCAATTGCGTCTCATGAATGTGTGGGTGTGTTTTCGCGTTTTAGTGTGTGTGTTTGAGAGGGTGTGTGTGTGTGCGTGTGTGTGTGTGTGTGTGTACACATGCCAACATCATTACTTCCTTTCTTTCTGTGTCAGTGTATTATTTTACTGTAGAGTCGATGGTAATGTGGTTTGGTATGAACATTTCACACAGTTAGATTCTTTAAATGTGTGTGTATGTCTGTGGAAGAGTTTAGTCCCTCATTTATGGCAAAAATCCAGTGACCTCAAAAAATGTCCATATAGGACTTATCACAAGAGGCCGTATTTCTCCACCACTTAGAGCAAAGTGATTTAATTGCCTACTTAAAGGTAATATGGCCTCGACTGGCATTTTTCAGAATTAAAAGAAAATATAATGAAACATAAAAATGCCCATTAAGTTCCACAATAATGATTCAATACTCAGAAAATTGAGTTTTCAGGATGAAGAGTCTCTTTAGGGTGGTATTTAAACATTACAGGATGTTAGAGTGAACATGGAGGGTTGTGTAACTTGTGTGTGTTTGTATCAAATTTCCCACTTCAGTTCCAGACACAGAAAATGGGGACTCAGCTGTGAACTTGTGATCTAATAAGTGTTCAAAAAGTAGTACTTTGTAAAACGTTGTTCAATGCTGCACTTTCTTACAAGACAACCTTCTGAAGTGTGAAGAATGCTCTCTAAGAGGTGGTTTGATCTGTTTGAAATAATTGCAAATCTTGAGTGCTCTTGTCGTACTTCTCAAACCAGAACCGAGATATGAGAGTAAAGTCGGGTCAGAGTTCATGAGTGTTTTTTAGCCTGACTTCATTTAGCTGAGAAATGGCCACCCGTCGAGCTTCGTGGGACTAATGCTCGTCGTGGATCATCAGCTACAAGATCAGAACAGAACGTAACAGTGCACAGAACTCGACAGTGTTAATTACAAGTCTTACATACATTCATATTCACATCCAGACCCTCATGTACGCCACAGAAAACCTCAAACAGGGAGGATTATGAATATTATTGGGGGAAAAAAAAAAAACTTATTCTGACAATAATTCCTACTTCAAGCTCGGGGCTGTGCTTGACTTAACTCTTCTGAATGTTTTCATGAGGAAGAGGCTTTTAGGAAGCTTTATGTTCAAGAGACAGGCATAAGGGATTCTCATGGGGCTGTGACACCCCCACTGTGAAAAAGATTCCAACAATACATCACATACAACAATTTAGAGACACACACCAGCTCTGTAGTCTCCGCCGCAGCTGCGTCGACAGATCGTGCTTCGATTGTACCCGAAGATGTCGTTGGGCTGTGACTCAAACTTGTTCTTGTAGTATGAACTTTGTAACTGGATAAAGCAGCATGGTTCCTCAAGGCCTCCTAATAAAGCGGTGATGTAGTGGTCAAGGAAACGGCTAAAAGTGCGTCTCATTTTGAGTGCGAATGTCAGTACTTGGAGGATGCTTTCAGGAAATAACTTTGATTTTGACTACTGTAGCTTTCTGCTTCCTTTGAGCTTCCAGAGAGATTCTGAAAGATTTAAAGTTAAAGTACAAGTTCAAGGACAACATGGGCTTTATTCATTTATTTTCAAGCTTTTCACAAGTCATCTGACTAAAACCCACATGTGCTGGATAAGAAGTAAGGCTGTCATTACCTGAGATTTTTACCTTGTGACCAAATTATTAATATTAATGATAATAGCCACAATAATGATAATGATGTTATTGGGGCATTTATGGAAACTAAGGGTGTCTGGATACAATATTGGCACGTACATCTCAAACTGAATTTAGTATAGGCCTCAGAGGGTCAAAAATATGGAATTCTCTTCCATTTCATTTATGGGAGTTGTCTTCTCACCAATTTAAGAAGGCGTTGAAATCACTTCTTTTAACTAAATACTTCCCATATGGTATGCTTAACGAACCAGGATCCATTCATTATTTTCTCTAGTGGTTTTTTATTCTGTGTCTCTCTGACTTTTTATTTTGTGTTGTGCTTTCGTTGTTTCAGTTCCTTGTTCTATAATCTATAACTCTGTTTTTCTTTTGGCCATTTCTCGAGCCCCTGGAGGGTTTTCAGGAACTCTCCTTCACATAATCATTAAATTTTGTAACCTATGTTTTTAAACTCTTTTGTATGTGAAAATAAACAAACCAAACCAAACCAAACCAATATTGATATTGGATATTGGTCTGATATAAGCCAAAAAAAAAAAAAAAGAATATCAGATTATGTCGGCCTGCAGCTATAATCTCTGATATCAGCACTTCGATACAAGCAGTCCATTCCAGATTCCGCTCTGTCATTTATCTATTATTTATCTATCTAGCAGCGCCCGGGTATGGCATGCAGAGCCCACAAACTCAAAACAACAGTGTGTGCTCGGGTACAAACAAGGTAGAAAGGAGTAGGAGTGATGTCGGCCTTGTGGCAGTATTTCTTAAGTCCGAAAAAGACATCGCAGCTGAGTGAAAAACTTGTTATACACAATTTTGTGCCAATATCGGATCTATATCGGTATCAGTTAAGATTGAAGGCTACAATATCGATATCATAGTGGAGGCAAAAAAGTTGTACCAGGACACTCCTAATGGAAACTTCAGAGTACTTGATTTATACATCTATATCTATCTATAACCTCCTCCTACTGCCATTGGCTCAGGGGGAGGAAAGTGGCCCTCGGGGGAAGCGGGGGCCCTTGATGAGCCAAAAATACACATAAACTTTTTTTTGCTGCTTTTTTTTTCTCCAGGTTATTACCGTTAAAGAAAAACTAACACTGTCTGATTAAATAAACAGATACTCAGCTTTTCTTTCTGGAAATAATGAAGTCTCCTCCAGAAGCCCCTCGTACCCCGACCTAATGCAGGCGGTTAAGCCCCCTGAGCAATGGGAAGAAAGTAATTAATCTTCAGTATTTTTCTTAAACCAAATACTTTGCGATGACTTGCTTTCCCTTTGGTCCTTTTACACGCTTTTGATCAAGATAACATGTATCCAGTAGTTTTGCAATTAAAGCAGCGTATACCAGAATCATGGATAGTCAACAGGCCTCCCTTTTAGGAGGGAACTTAAATAAAGGAGTGGCACTTTGTTTTATCTGGACCTGACAGAAGCAGACAGACATGATTCCTGTTGCTGTTTGAGAGGTGAATGGACACAGATTACACCTCGTTTTGTCCTCTATAGATTTTAGTGATAACAGTAAGAGGGAAGAACAATTTCCTCTCCAGCAGTCTGAACAAATGACCCTCCCTGTTTCTGTTGGCATTAGTGTTGAAAAGACTTAAATGTATAGGGGCCCTCTGTGCTTCTTTTTTTAACATCAACATCACTGTGATTCAGACGCTGAGTTATCTGCTGCCTTGTGAAAAAAAGGGTAATGTGCATGTTGATACAAGCAGATGAACATTGAATCATCAGACCCTCACAACCTCCACGTCAGTGCAACCGAAAGATGAAAATCCAATCTCTGCTTCTGACTCACTGCCAAAGAAAAATGGTAAATCATTAAAGAAAAACTGTACTGTCTCAGTTTTTGAAACAGAAAAATATATCATGCATTTATTAAATTATAAACTTTAATTATATTTTTTATGAATATATTTTATTCATGTATTAATTTGCACATCTTTGCTCTTTGTCAGTTGTCTTTGAATTGATTATGAGTTGGTTTAAATGAAGGTTCAATATTTAATGCAATACATCAGTGTGTCAGTCACAACAATTTAAAACAGCAAATTGTAGAAAATTACTTTTTTTTAAATTAAAATAATGTGAATGACTTAAATTCAATATCTTTACACAAAGTGAATTAAATCCAGTTATTGAAATTGTTGTTTATTATTATGATATCGTCTTTAGACTTAAATCAATTCTACTAAATTAAGACCAGGAGCTTCGGATCTGACTTTACTGATGCAAAGAGTTATATGAAGAAATGTGAGCAGAGAGAGAGAGAGAGATGGAGAAAATAAGAAATAACTGGTCTTTTCTGCAGAACCGAGAAGAATTTAAGAATGTGCATCGAAGTGCAAAGAGGTGACGATTCTGCGGAGAGGATTTAGGATTTAATATTTCCAAAAATAATTATGCAAGACTACAACTTTAAAGGTATCTTAAAATCCTCTGTGGATTATCAGATGTAGTTGTTAACATAGTTTCCATGACTGTATATTCTTGATGGTCCAATAAGCACTTATAATTCCACGAATGGCAATGAAAGAAAAGGACGACAAAACATTTAGAAATGAGTATCCTCACATGTCCTTGTGCACTATTTCACATCAAAATCTCTCGCAGTTATTCATCAACTCAGCAGAACTAGTCTGTTCATTCATAGTCATGAAGATGGTTTGCCGAAGCTTGAAAAATGTTTGTACTAATGACTGAAAGCAGCGCTCCCTTAGCCAGGTACTGTAGATCTGAGCCAGTAGTTTTCTTTTAACGGTCTATAACTGTTGTTTCATTTTTGACTGCTGGTTGATTGGGTGGGGAATCTTAAAGTTGATGTTGAAAAGGAAACTCTTATACTCGTTGTAAAGTCGTGTTAATCCAGTAAAACGATGATCCAAAAGAAACTCCTCATCCTGACCTAAACAGTCTCATTTGCTTCTGTACCTCATGGAGATACTTCACTGTTATTTTCAGTCTGTTTCATCCTTATCAGCAGTTATAACAGAACCTTAACAGTCACACAATTTAATGAAAACATGGAAAATAATATAAAGAAAGCAGGGTAATGAAAGCAATGATTGAGCTCCAATGTAAAGGGACACTGACCTTGCTGTAAATAGGGCACCAGTTCTCTCTAAATAACATATTGGAGCATTAAAACCGCTGCATACATTAATGGGATTCCATTAAAGAGAGATGGGGGAAGAGACCAAGGGCAACAGTCTGTGAGGGGGTTCAAGATGATGAGAGTAAGTGAAAACGATAAAAAAATGATATTAACAGGGAAAAAAAGATATAAAGGAATACAATAAAAAGGTAATTATGCACAAATAATAAAACAAACATGGCATTTTGTGAGCAGCATAAAAAAGGAAGATAGGCAGAGAAAGAGGAGAGACAGAGAGACAGATTTGAGATGAGTCAGGCCACCAGATGGTCTAATGACCACAGGAAATATTACAGCTGGCAACCGCTCACCAACATTAATGACACCAGTCATTTAAGAGCCCCAAGAAGAGCCACAGTGTGTGTGTGTGTGTGTGTGTGTGTGTGTGCGCATCATCCTGTGGGTGTATGTGTGGAGGACATTAATGTGAATTACAAGGTCAGAGAGTCCTTCTAATTATTTTATGATTACGAAATGCAATGAATCCAGACACCACTCTACTTAAGATAGTCTGCTGAAAACGTTGCTCTGGTTAAGAGAAGGGGACGCATTCGGATTTTCTCAATGGAGGAAATATCGCAGTAAGTGAGTGTGCAGCACAGATCTTTATTTAACTTCAGGTGTTTTCTCACGAGAGGCACACTTGTTACAGTTATTGTAAAATTTATTGTATTTAACAATAGAAAAAAAAGGATAATATCTCAAATTTTTTCTTATTTGAGTAACTTTTAATAGTATATTTTTGAACCAGTGCATTATTGTTTTTATTAATAAGTCCTTCCAATCCAATCCTATCCAATAATAACACTCACACACACACACACTCACACACACCTCTGTGCCTACCTCTCGCTGGCCCTGTATCGCTCCCTTATTTCTTTACATCCTCCTACCTCTCTTATCTCTTTCTCATGGGTCTATATGAAATATTCTGACCAGGCTTCAACAGTGGACACATAATTAGAAACCACTGAACCCTGACTTCAACATGGGGGCTCTTCTCCCAGAAAAGTGTGTATGCCTCTGTGTGTATATGTGTGTGTGTGTGTGGTGGATGTTGAAAAAGGAGAGCTGGGACGAGCCTGTAAAACAGCTTCATTGTAAGAATACATCAGTTTAAAATGACTGTGTTCAACACCACATTTAGACAGAGAGAGACCGAGGCAGAGAGAGACAAACAGGGGGATGCGGGAAGATTAGCCAAATGGATAAATGGGTTGATAGATGGGGCATTCGGGAGAAGGTAGACGAGAGGAGGAGAGGTGTAAACAGAGATGGGAATAGATGGTTATGGCTCGTCTCCATTAGTCTTTGTTTTTTGTCTCTTACAACCAAATCTGGTTGATAATTCAGTTTTTTCTATAAAAAAGGATAAATAATCTGATATTCCCGCGACAGAAAACAGAGGGACCGACTGTTTTTCAGTATTTTTAAATGAAGAAACTTGTGGAAGTGGCTTACAAACAGGCATTTACAAACCAGGTTTCCATTGAAGCTGGAATTTGGCTGGCAGCCTGTTTGCACACCTCCATTTTTCAGTGGCAGTGGCCTGACTTTTACCTGACTTTGTCCTTGTATAGCTTTAGTACGGTGTCATGGTGTGACTAGCTAGTTATGGTTTGTGCTGACGGCTTGTAACTGTATTAGAAAAGGACAGAGGAGCCTTTAGGACAGTTTCCATCAGCGCGTCCTTGGAATATGCAGACATTAACACATAGTCATACATGAAGCTGCATGCACACACACAAAAAAGCACATTAATCGACACACAGACAGACACACACACACACACACCCCACACATGACATGCCCACATGCACATGCAGCCTTTTATGAGCCCTCCCTTATGGCTGTTGCAGGGAATGAATGTCCAGTAGCCGGGCTGTTAATTAACATTTATGAAGGAAGATGACCGTTGAATGGTTAGGCCCTCACAGCCTTCACGTCAGAGCAACCAGAGTATAAAAATCCAATCTCTGCCTCTGCCTCGCTGCCAAAGTAATAACGGTAAATCATGATGTTGGTTTGTTTTATAATGTAGTATAAAATGGAGCAGATACCCTTTAGGGGGTACAGTGTTTGTTTTTGGACAGTATTTCAGCAGCATATTTGGAGAGCTTTGAGGATGTTTTGCAGATACACTAAGTGATAGAAGCTTTCCGTGTGTGTGTGTGTGTGTGTGTGTGTCAGTGTCTCGTATCTGGTAATATCCCGGTCTTAAATATTTACAATGCAAAAACAAAATGTATCATGGTTGTAACTTTCAGACAGTTAATGTTATATCCATTTTATTGAGTTGAAACTGTCAGCTGTGTTGCAGAGTTAAATCTTAATTTTATTATTATTTGTTTGTAACGCCGGGAGGATAATCAAAGTCTCTATATGGGGCAAACACTTAAACTGCTGGACAAACTAGCAGCCCAGTTTCTTTCTATTTTAAATAACATTTTAGGGTTTAACACAACTTAAAATTTTGCTTTTAAACACACAGTGCCTAAGTAGGTGTCTTCAGAGATCCTAACAAACTTAAAACCTGATTATGAGGCTTTTTAGATATCATTATTTAATAATCAAATCTGCACCTTTATGTTATTATTTTACAACTACAACTCTGTTCTGAGTGTGTTTGTGTGGACTCAAACAATTGTTACCTCAGTGTGCACACAGCTGTTGTTTATCTACTGCGCATGCGCCAAGTTGGCGAGGACATTTGCTCTGCACTTGGTTTGTCCGTTTACAGAAACGTTAACTTCCTCATCGTATCGTAGTGCAGGGGCGGTTGCTGTTATTCTGCTGCGAAAGATGCTTTTCTTTGTTTTGGTCGTTGAAAGTTTGGGAAAAGTCCTGAATTTGATTTTAAAATTGATTTCTAGTTTAATTCTCAAATGGTGTAAACCAAATTTTCTTGACCCCTTCAAGCCCTCGTTTTAACCACATCTAGTTTACACCCTGACCAACTACTTACAAGCTACACCAGGACATTGTTAAAGAGAGCACACCAACCAACACCCATGTGGTTGTTTTTGTAATTAGATTTAACAAAGATAAAATACTAATACTGTGAAGACACATGAGCACATGACCACACGCAGATCCAAGCAGGGACCTCACACACGTGGACAGTTCCAGCCGCAGCTCCCAAACACCTGTCTGCCAATCTTCCAGCGGTGATTTGTCCACGTCTGCTTTCCCCTGGCCGGTGGAAACACTGTGTGTGAGCAGCATGTGTGTTGATATGTCAGTTTCTGTGTGTTAGCAGTCTGACGGCCACAGATAAGGTGGCAGTTATCTTATCTTGCAGTGCCAACCTACCCTAAACCTGCACAAACCTCAGGTGTCACAGTGTGCTGGCTTCTCCCCAAGCATCCCCTCATTTTCATGTCAATTTCACACCATTTTGCTGTCTCTCAGCCTGTGCCCTTCCTCCCTGCTGTCTCTCCCCCTCAACACTCCCACCCCCCTCTTCATAGACGGTTAAACCCGTTTTAGCCCAGCTATGCCTCTCTGTTTCCCCTTTATCACTCCCTTTTTTCTCCTCTTGCTCTTTTGACCCTTCTTTGTATCAGTCTGCTTGGCTTTGTTATCAATCTCTCCTGTCCTTGGCCCACTTTGACAGTGTTCACTCTTTTGCTTACTTGGTCTTTGCCCACGTTTGAATCTTGGTTTTAATTTCCTTTCTCTTTATTGCTCCTTCCATCCCTATTTATCTTGCTCTCCTCATCACTGGTTTCAGTTGCTGGAAGTGGCGACACTCCTCGAAGAATCTCATATGCTTCCTCTGTGTTTCTTTTGAATTGTGCTTTCTTATGTTTGGATTTTAAGACTTCAGCCGTTTTTAACCTGGAGTTTGTTTGCTTTGATCCAGATAGTGGACCAGTTTGTTTGACTGTTACATAGTTATCTCAGGTTTGGTTTGATTCACACGAGGACATTTACAATCAGACTGAAATGTGTAATGATGCACAAAAGAAGTTGTGCTGAAGTTTCCTGCAGCTGCAAGACGAGTACATCCTGCTTGACATGAGCTGCTTTGGATCCAAAATGAATGGACAACAGTGGTCAGTGGTTGTGATATTTTTTTTATTGTTTGGATTAACCACTGAAGGCAGTTAGTACAGCTTGAAAATGAAACATAACTCTGGCTGAAATAATATTTTGATGTATTGGAGATGCACCAAGAAACTTTCTATGATTGTTGGTGTAATAAAGGAAAGTTAAAGGTGCAGTGTGTTGGATTTAGCTGTATTTTACAAATTGGATATAACAATCAAAATACGTTTAAATAAATTTATAATCAACTTACTATAAAGTGATTTTGTTTTCGTTAACTCAAAATGAGCCCTTTAAGAGCAGGTCCCTCTGATGGAACAAACTAGTTACATACATGTATTGAATGAGTGGCTGCATGAACACTACAAGAACCTTTTGTCCTCAAAAGGCCACTGTAGTCTCTCTGCCAGGAAGGTTGAGAAGGTAATGTTTTAAACACTTTTTACACACTACACCTTTAACACAGCAATCTACTGCAGTAACACAAATTTTTATCTCTTTTATTTGAGTGGTACCATTAAAATATCCTTTAAACTTGTTTAATGTCTCTGAATCATATAAGCTAATTTATTCTAACTTATAAGTAAGATGGATCTGAAAGTAAAAGTTATTCTTATTAAACGATACATAGCAAGAAGCAAGAGTTCTGTTTAGTTTGCTTTTTAGTTAGTTTGCTTTAGTTTGATGTGGATTTCAATTTCTGCGAGTCTAGCACTTATAGTTTGGAAAATACCACACATTTTTAAACTCGATTTTAAATACAGAGGTTAAGGGTTAAGATCAGTCTGTCACTCGGGCTTCAGTCCACCCTCTTTCATCCATGCCCATTAGGGCAGGTGTACTGTGAAAAAGAGGACATGAGTTACTATAACACAAGTTATGTTTGATTTAAATAACACCAATGCAACGTATTCTGTTCAACTTTAACACACCCTTAAAAGAACGGTTGAAGTGTTTTTTATATTCTGAGTTTGACAGAAAACTTCTCTCAGTCTTTCATCATCCATCTCAGTTGCTGTGATTGTGCATTAGCAGGTTATGGCTAATGTATCAACGCAACAGAGCAGCTGTGGTGCAAGCTAACAGAGGCAAACATCTAGGCTTACAAGCACAAGTATCACGGTTGTTTGCTGAGCATTTATGAGCTAATTTGTTTGCAGTTGTTAAAATTACCATTACAAAACTCTCACCTCAGCCTCACAGTGTCCAGCTAAGTTTTAGTCAGATTTTTATATTACTGCAAGGTGTTACAGTTTTCAGAACAGAGGGCAATGCTCGAGGTAAAATGTGGATCTAGTAGTCACAGATATTTGTAAAAACACAGTGCTGTCTTTTTTATGTTTTTATTTTTAAATGCATTTTCCATGGAAAGACTCCAGAAGGACATTTTACAATATTTTAGGGGCAACCAAGAGGTGACACTTGTAAGTAAGAGTCCTAAGATAAGGATCCCTTGTGAGGACACAGGTTACTTGAGACAGCAAGTGATGAGGGAGCACGAAGTGGTATTGGATAACCACAACTTGACCTTCTAAGAACCTGTAATTGGGCTTTCACACATCTTTTCACACTCTTGTCTAAACAGTACTATACTTGTGTAAACAGTAAAACACATGATTCAGACAGAGAAAGGTACACCATACTAAAATGGAAAGGTTTCTTTTGAGCAGCTTCTCCTATTCATGTCCATGGCGAGAGAACACAGCTTTGAACCTTTTTGCTCCGTCCCCCTCTTTATGAACATGGCTGCACTAAATCATCTCTGGCTATTCCCCCTCTCTCCATCCACTCTGTTTTCATTATGTTACAGTATGACAGAAAGACCCCAGACAGATACAGGATCCAAGATAAAGCATCTGCTGCAGTGATGTCAGGGAACAGTTATGTGGTAGATTATGAGGCTCATGGTCTGAACTTTCAGCCCTCGGTTTGTTCTTTTAACCTCTGACATCTTTGTTGTGCTATCGTCAGGGTTTTTTTTTTCTTTATCCCCTTCTAGTTCTCTTGCGTTTGGTCATATTTAATTTGAGTTTTTCTCTTTTAACATATGAGATGACTTCAATGTACCTTGTTTGCTCAACTCTTACAAAATCATTTTATATATATGGCTTAATTCGAGAGCTATAAAGTTTGTTATTATTATTCTTATTTACTTGATTGTAGCTGAGAAAAGCTTTTAGTTTCTTCGGTTTCTGTTGTGGCTGTGAATTTGAAGGAGTAAATTTGCTAAGTACAGGGCTAATGCTATCAAGATAATGTTATTATGAACTGTGACATGCACTTTGTGATTATTATGTATGTATTATGAGAGTTTAATTTTAATTAGTGAATGCCTCTTGCAGATAAACAGACAAGTCAGTCTGTTGTTTACCCTCCACATAGCCCATAGTCAGATTCTCTGTCTCACCTTGCTCTTATAGCCTTCATCTTCTTAACCTGATCCCCTGGCCTGCTAATTATAGCAGGCTTCAACAGAACCGACAGAGAAACCGAGCAGAAGGGAAGAATTTGGGAACTGCCGGCGATATTCACAGTGGATTTTGTGCAGTGTGCAGTTCAGCGGCTCCAAGGTCCTCTTTCAGCTCATTGATTTATAGTTGTTACTCTGCTGGGTGGCTTTTTAATTTCCCGAGAGTATTTTTAGTTTGTTTGTGCTCTCAACACTCAAAGTTTGTGGATGCTTTGGCTGTCCCAGATTTTTAAGGTAGAGCTAAATATGAGAATATTTTTGAAAGAAATCTGATTGCAGGTGTTTTCCCCTCATATAATAAACAATATTTCTGTTTGACAACAATCATTGTGCATTCAAAAAACCGATACAGGACATCTGCCTTTCAGATTGGACGCGCTAACAATAGATAATGTGTCAATTCAGGACAATGAAGAATACACTTGGACTTCTTTCCTTAAAGCTCGCTGGTGCTGACCAATATAATATTCTCAGGCTTGTGTCTGATGGATTATAGATTTAGACAGCCTTACTGGGCATTAACACAATTCCACATTTTGCTACATATGATCCATTTGCGAAATACACAATCCTGACTGTATGCTCATAGTTAAACCTCTTTCCTCTTCTGTTGGCCCTGTCTCCTCAAGCAGAATGTACAATCATGCTTTTAAGATTTATCCAGGATTTAGCTGCTAACCGGAGTCAAATAAATCCCCCCGTGCTGTGATGCACTGTGATTGAGTGTCATTAACAACTCTTCACAAATATCAAGTTTTGATCTCTGCAGGCATACAGTTGACCTTTTATTACGGTGGTGTTGGAAAGACACATGCTGAGTGTGTAATTACTGTTTGCAAGACCAGCTCATCTATTTTAATCCCTCTTTCTGTGATAACAGTATATTTAGCTCCCTCTTTCATGCTCTTTTTTTCTTTCTTGCATAATGATGCTTTCACTCTTTCCATAAATAATTTAATCTCGGCCCGCTAACACTGACTGTCAAGCACCCCATCTGAAACTTTACAGAGGCCAGTGGGATTAGTTTTTGCTGATTTACTCGGTTTTGTTTAGGCCCATATTTTTGTTATATCATTATATCTGTGTTCTCTGCTGGTGTGAGATCTTGTCATGTCAGTTGCGGAGTTCTGGGACTGCTGAATTTGTAAAGTGCAGCTGGTGTCCATGTTGGAGGAAACAAAAAGAAAGTGTTGAAGTGTGTGTTGAGGCACAGAGAGAGTACAGCAGAGAGACAACAAGAGGAAGGTAGATTGAGACACAATGGGGAGAAAAACAGGACTTTTTCACACTGTAGCATGTTCAGCAATGTTTCTGTGTTACAGCATAAGCAAATCTCCCCCATGTCTCACTTCTTTGACTCCTTAAGCCGAGCAGGCAGGGAGGCTGGGTTTTTGGGAATTAATAAGGAGCTTTTCATCCACTGATACCTATAGAGTATTATATAATGTTAATTTTATTTCAACTAAATCCTACTCTTCATTTTTGAATGTGCTTAAGTCAAACCTGAAAGCCCTGAATGCTTTATTCTGATGTGCCTTTTCTCGTCTATCTCCCGGTGTTTGGAGGTTTGTGCAGCTTCTTGTATCCCAGACCACTTTATCACAAGCGTGACATGGCTGTGGTAACAGCCATTTTACAGCACAGCAGATTTGGCTGATGTGCATGGCATGTTAAGTTACCTTGAAGCAAAGCTAGTGCTGTTTGGTGCGTGTTTGTGTGTGTAGTAACAGAGTGAAAAGCGTGTAATAGGCTCACCTGTCCCTTGCTACAGACTCATGGGTAAGCGGAGAGAACAGAAAGCAGATGGAGGGATGGGAGATGGAAAAATGAATGTAAAGAGCAAGATACTGCTGCACTAGTGGGGGGTTAGGGTTAGTGAATCTCAAATGCTGAGGTGACTTGGACTCTTTAACAAAGGGGAGACTTAAAAAATATGTTTTTTTGACCAACAGTTGGATGTCAAACCTTTTCTTTAAGACTTTTATTGATGAAACCGCTAATTCCAGTTTTTTAAATCTTTTACAGGGTGAAGAGGATAGCGCTGACCTTTCGCCTGGTCCAAGGTGAGTTCAGATCTGTCTTTGACCTCGCTTCAGTTGTCTACACACTTCAAGTTATTTCAGTTATGTTTACGTGTTTTTTTTATCTTTGTAAAAAATCCTTGACGTAAACTTCTTTCATTTTTCTGGATGGACAAATTTTTCCTCTTGCTCTAAATCTGCACCGTTTCATACATTAAGTGTCCTTTTATATATGCAATTAAATCTCTAAAAGGAAGCAGGTGAAAAGTCCAAAAGGCAGAGCAAAATAAGATTTACTAAGAGTTAATATTCCAGGTACCTCGTCATATTTAATTCAAAAACATTTGTTGGAAAATTAGTTTTACCGATCAACAAGCAACTGTTTTAAGTCCTGTGAGAATCTGTAGCCTGCCATGATGGTGGTCTCTGCTCCCCCAGTCAGTAGCATGTCTTTGGCATTATCTGGTTGCCGTGGTGACATGCAAGTGTCAGCAGGAAGATGTGCGATGTCCTCTTGTGCATGTGTGGTGGCGGGTGTTGAAAGGGTTCTGTGGAGGCGGATAGAGTTCCCCCTGTCCGCAAATGCCAGCGTCACTCTTATGTTGAGGGTCGTATACCAAAACTTTGGTAATATGTGCATGCAGACACACACAGACACACACACACACACACACACACACACACCCTACCCCCACACACTCAAGTACACATACTGAACTGAAACAGGAAATACGCAGACAGAGTGGACACACATGTATGCAGATATCCAGATTCCATGCAGGCCACTGTCATGCACTCATGGTGACAGCTCAGGACTATAAGGTTTCTTACAATGCTTTGAACACCACCATGTGTAGTTTTTGTGCACATTTTTATAACCTAGAGCTTAACGCCTCGCATGCCAATTTTAATGCAAAGTCTGTATCTGATTTTAAATGATCTATATTTATAGATTTGTGACTGATGACATTTTCAAATGACATTTCACATGCAAATTTTACTAGCTATATGAGAGAAATGAGGGGTCTGCGGCCTTGCTTAGAGGCAGCTGGACCACATATGAAGAGGGGGGATGCATTCATCATTTGCTCCTCCATGCAGGTCTGGGGATTTGAACCCTGGCCTGCAAAAGCTTGAGGCTTCTGTTGACAATCAGGTGTGATGCATTTTAATTACTCTGGGATTCTGTTTTCGCTGTAACTGTAAATGAGTTGAAGTTCAGGAATTGATCTGTCCTATGGGAACTTTGGTTTTAGCAGAGCATATGTTACATTGAGTAGTATAATGAGCTGGATGGAACTGATACAAACTCATCAAATTAATTGGCATGAAGGAGGCTGGAGACTGAGTGGAGAAGAGGAAGTCTGCTGCATGAAGGAAAGAAAGATTTTAAAATAGATTTTCTCTAAAGTCTGATTTTTCTCGTCATTTTAGTGAAGGTGTTCGCTCTTCATTTTGAAACTGCATCACAAATTGATGAATGGCGATATGTTGACAATGTTGTTTCCACTGAAGTCCATGTAAAGGTCACAGTTGTACTAACAGCTGTACTACGAATTATTTTATATAGAAGGTAAACAAGCTTTTTTCATGATAGGACTACAGCGGAGAAAATAACCCTTTAAAACTGAACTTAACCTTTAAGTTGTTCACCTGATGCATACAGGAGTCGGCACTTTTGACTCACTTTGTCAGACAAACCGTATTTCACTCACTTGACCGCACTATTCTGTGCTTAATACATTTTTATAGTGTGTTATAAAACTGTCGGTTTGTGATAAGTCTCGCCAGGATTCCTGGTGAAATGGACATCAAGGACCACTGTGCTAAAGGTTTTCCAGCTCTAAAATGATCATGTCTGATAGATGATGAAGATAACAACCTTCACTCTCTTTACTGACTACTTTAATGGCACCTCTGGGTGTCAAGGTGGACTCTGAGCTGTGCAGACACCACCATGCCATCTACACTTGCAGAGACGTATACATCCTCTGACTGTGAGTGGGTCATCAGTAATGTGAGACCGAGTGTTTTGGTCTCTTGGGGTCACCCTGTCGCCAGAATCACCTTTACACACATATAGCTTGTCGCGTTTGCTTCCTTACTCCTGCTGTACTCACATAAACAAAGACACACATACTCTCTCTCTCTCTCTCTCTCTCTCTCTCTCTCTCTCTCTTTCTTTCACACACACACACACACCTGGTTATTTTAGACTCACACGTATTAATCCAAAATGTACCTTAATCCCGGGCCTGATTTATTTTGAAAAAAGTTGTTTTGTGCAAACTGACTTTTAGATTGCCTTTGCCATCAGAGCAGGAGGAGTTTATTTGTGCAGCATATTTCAACAAAAAAATAATTTCATTTGATTAAGGTCATTACACACCGGCGAATTAGCAAAGCCAATTTGGGAGGTGAATAATTTCCTTTTTTTTTAAAACCTCATGAAGTCAGAGCAAGCTTCCACACCAGCTACAAACTTCTGCAGAGCAAAAAAGTGACTGTAATTTTTTTTTTTAGCCCCAGTAGTGAAGTTTGCAAACATCACAGACGAACTGCTCCATAAATCTGTAGATCTTACCTCAGACATGTGGCAAGCCGTTGCTCCGGATCAATCGGCCCTCTGTAATTTGTCCTCCCCCTCTGGAAACAGCTGATGCAGCAGTTCTTGAAATTGTCAGAGCGACATTCAGAAGTATTGTTGGAATTTCTCGGGATACAATTTGATCTCCTGGATCGTTGTGTGGAGCTCCCCCATCTCCTGTCACAAGGTCTGTATTGGATGTACCCAGACTCTTCGATTCCTCTTTTTCTTTTTGTTATTTAATCGACTTACAACCACGACCAGTTGAGGATGTAGTCACTATTGTTTCTTCTTCCTCTCTCTCGCCCTCTGTTCGCCTGTGGTGTACTTTTGTGCCAATATGTGATTTTTATTCGCGTCGCACCAGGTGTGTAAAGGAAAATGCGTAAGCTAAACATTTCGCATTGTCGTGTCGCTTTTTTGCGTCGCTTTGCTAATTTGCCGGTGTGTATTGACCTTTACCCTCACAGCTTTTCTGCCTGTGTTGTATACTATGTGAGAACACACCAAAACTTATGCACTACGCCAAGCATCAAAATGTATTGGGTTGATCCTGACAGTGATAGTAACACGGCCCCATTATTGTCCTGACCATGCAGACTTGGTGTCACTTTACGGTGTCGAGCAGATTCCAGGCTCTCTCTGTTGGCGGTCCAGAAGTTAGCTTGTATGCACATTGACAAGGAAATATTGAGATCAGCACTGGTCTCTGTCCCTGTTACCAAGAACTGCTGACAAGGAAGGACCAAAAGAGTTGTTATAAACCCGTTCTTGTCCTCACCATGTGAACAAGGTGTTATTTAGACGGCTCCTTAAGACACTTCAGGATAAACTTCTTAGAGCAGTTTCTGCTTTTGATTCTGTTGCTGACAAGGCAGCGCACTGCTGTTACAAGCTCTGTCAACCAGGATATGGAAAGGCAGGGAGTAGAATAAGGTCTAGAAACACTGACTATACATGTTGACAAGGCTCAAGTGAGTATTGCACTGGCCCGCCTGTAGCTGACAAGACACTGGATGCTTGGTGACAAGCTGCTTGCTATTCCACACTCATGTTAGCATGGCAAGGGTCACATTGACATCTGCAGTCTGGGGAAACTTGAGCCTATCTTTCCAGCAAACACTGTGAGCGTGTGCATGGGCTTGCCCATTGATAGGGATTAGCAAAGATGAGTGAGCCAGGCTCCATGGGATGGCCCTGGCTGCTACTGGAGGTCAGTGCATGTGCACTCCAAAGTGAGTGTTTGTGTGTGGGTATTTGTCAGGCAGTGGGGGGTTAGGCCTGGATTGCAATGACAATAGAAAGGAATTTAAATGAGAGAAAAACGAGGATCAGGGATGTTTGCAAGGAGGATGGAGGAGGCTTTGGCGCCATTGTTATTCCTCCTCTTTGTCATTCTGCCTCTCTATCTCTCTATTACATTCTTTTGCAGTCTCTCTCAACCATCGCTGCAATATTTTTCACAGAAATCAATCTCTCTTATGGCTTTATCTTTTATCTCCTGCGTCCTCTTTTGAATTTCTTTTTCTTTTTTCTTATCTTGCTCTCCAGAATTGTGAGTGACTAAGCCATGTCAAGTTCAGTGTTGTTGATAAGCTTTTTGTAACCAATCCCTGTCCTCAAAGTTCAAACCTCTGACTACTCCACAAATAGAGTGAGACTAAGACCAGTTAACTAAGTGCTGTTTTTTTCTGACATTGAAATTCCAGAGATGGAGAAAAAAAGAAGTGTTTCAGATAAAACAGTGTTAATTGTATATAAAGAAAAAGTTAAAGTAATTTGGGAAATATTTGATTTCTTAATCCTTTTCAGGTCAATGTTGAAATAAAAACATACAAGCTTTTATTGTCAATCAATGGAAAACACTGATGTATGTCTATGTCACCTTACTTTTCATAACAATGTAGTTGGTCGGTGAGATAACTGGTGGGGTTTCAGCTTTTAACAGATACTTTATTTGTCACCAGACGATGAATTAAACAATCTCATAAATTGCATTTCTAACCCAGCTAGCATGCTAGTTAAGAAGCTGCATGCAATTATTATAGCCTGGATTAAAAATTAAAGTAACTAACAAAAGAATCAAATAAAGAATTTTCCAAGTTCTTGCCACATCATATTTGCAGCCAGTTTCCTGTATTTAAATGCAAATAATCATCAAACTGAAAAGTGAAATAATGAATGTAATAATGGAGCATTTGAAAAGTAACCAGGACACAGAATAAACAGACTGCAGGTTATTGAACTGTCCTTTAGAAATCCATTAAGTTCTTCTTCTTCTTCTTCTCCTTTGTAGAAAAAAATATTTTCTAGTTCTCCTCTACCTTTCTTCTCCCTCTCCTTGCACCCTTGAATGCTACTCTCCCTGTAGGAACTTCAAGGTAAATCGAAGATGCAACTGGGGAATGTTGAGATGCAAGAAACCCACAAAGAGCTTTCATGTAAGACTTCTAGTTTCTCATAAGAGGGAAGGACTTTCAGCACAAAATGAATTATGGGAGACAAAAGTTTTCAGGGATTCAAATCTCAGAAGTTAAGTTTGAGGCAGGTCGGTCCTTGTATGTCTGAGTTGAAGTCAGTCTTCGCTTTGTGACCCACGCACAGTACTTACTTTTGCTGTCTGTCCCCAGAGTGTATCTTAAAAAAGGTAAAAGGAGTTTTAGGTATGCCGAAGTTTGAAGCTTGAAGTTTGCTTCAGGAAAATTTTGATCCAAGGGAGCTTATCTCCCTAAATGTTTTTTAAAAGCAGACTGAAGGTGTTGGAGAAAGATGCATCATGTTGTAGATGCTGTGAATGATGATTTCTCTTACATAACCCCAGATACGTTTCCAAAAATGTTTGAAGTATGTGTTTGTATTTCTGTAACTTTGTTGGAAAGTGTTGCTGCTGTCTTCGTCAGGACACTTCTGTAAAAAAATGTTTTAATCTCTGAGGTTTCCCTGGTTAAATAAAACTAAATGAATTCATAAACAGTAACTTTCTCTTATTTGGCGAGACATCAACATCAACTTGTAAAAGTCACAAAATTTACACCCACTGAGTTTTTTTTATTTTTGCAGAAGCTAATTTTCATTTCTGTCTTGTCAGTGCCTCATTGCTATAGCTACAAAAACAGCCCCCCAAACTGACTGTTTTTCAGATGTCAAACTTTGAAAGGTGGCTTAGACACAGATTTTTGACTATTCCCATAATGAAGGGGGTTAAAGATATTTCCAGGAAGGGATTCAAATCGCCAATCTAAAATTAAATGCAAATTGGTCCCTGTGCGCTTGGCTAACAGTATTTGAAGCTGTACAGTGAAAGATCAAACTTCGACAGTTTCTCTTAGAGACCCTGCTGGTCGTAAAAAAATGAACTGGATGGAAGTTAACATGTTTGAGAAAATAACATCAGTGTTACTGAAGGAAGTGGCAGGAAAGTAATGAGCCAGTAGATATTTGTTGTTGTGGTCTCCTCTACCTGTAAACCAAAGATGAGGTAGAGTTGATCACCCCCTAGAGAGTAGCTAATCCTGGATAGACCCCACTTAACACTCGCCTAATTCGACCAAAATTCACGTTCACATTCTCTTGGGGGGGTTGAGGGAAGATTTTAGTATTCACCAGAGAAATGTTGAGGGGAACTCGGCAGCCCAGATAGGATTCGATAGTGGTTTTGTGGACATGGATGTGTTCGGACTGGGACCCCTTACAAGCAGATATGTTGATGTAGGGTTGAGCTAGAGCAGTTTGAAATTTTATGGCGAGGCATTAAATCAACATCAGTTTCTGGCAAAAACTAGACCAACATCTCAAGGACGTCTTTTTTTTTTAAATTAGTTTTATTCAACATGAGTAGAAAGGCAGAGTTACAGGTGTAATATTTCAAATGTTCATGTATCGTTTTTCCTTTTTCCAATAAAAAAAAAAAAACAACAACAATCCGAACACGACCTACACACAGAGCTCTAAGGCTCAGAATTTGGTACAGCAAAAGGACAAAGTTTGGGTCAAACACTTAACATTAAACATTAACATCAAGCATTCCCTCCCTCAAGGACGTCTTAAGCAAAACAATAGGCAGATATGATTATTGGTTTAAGGGATAAAGTGACAGCATGATGTTTTATCCTGCCACCAGGAGACTCTGTAGATAAATATGAAATATGAAAGATCACCACATGAATGTGCTTAGGGCTTGACCCCATTATACAAGCTGAAAATGGGTCAGATTGGAGCATGCGTGGCTGAGATAGAAACTACTTCCTGTCTAATGGTGAAACAGGGAACTTGTCATGGCCACACCCTTTGATATACTCGTAGGAGTTCGAGGAATTTGAATCATTCAGAGGTCTTGTAGCTTCAAAGTAAGAATCAGGTGGATCAGATATCTGCTTTCGGAGACGAGACTTTTCAAAGAACCCCTGGGAATGGCCCAAAAACAGGTGTACAATTTTGAAAGTGCTCTATTTTAGAAGGCCTTTATAGGCTTACATTGCTTTTTCACACATAATTGGATGAGTCAAACATGAGTGATTCACTCTCGCTTTCCGTGTTGGAGCCCAAAGGCCTTATCTCTCTTGTTGTGTTATTTAACTCTTTCCTAGAATCACTTTGTTTTTTTCCCATCTTGTGGTGACTCGCTGGTTCTCCATGTCCTGTATTGTCTGTCTCACTGTCTATTTCCCTGTCTCTTGTGTTATTACCCTGGCAGCCTGTGGTCAACTGTAGTCAGGTTGACCACTCTCAAAACAGGCTCATTGATTTTAAACCCACACCTTACTCTCTCTCTCTCTCTGCATCTCTCATTCAAATGCACACACACACAAACACACACACATTAATAGACACTTGCTCTCCCTATCTCCGTTTGTCTGCTCCCCCACCCCATCCCTTTGTGGCTCTAATTACGATCAATTAGGAAACTTCAGAAGGCTGAAATAGGAGCTGTGACAAGGGGCATCCGCTGAGCTGGCAGGGGTAGGAGGGAGAAAGAGACGGATACAGAGATAGAGTAAGATAGAGACAGCAGGAGAGAAAACAGCAACATAGGAGAGAAGAGAGGATTGGGGGGGTGGGGGGTTATGGGAGTAAGAAGTCCAAAGTGGTGTCTAGAGATGAGCTAATGGTTATAGTGTGATTGATGTGGCTGCAGCAGCTGAAAGTCACATCGTTTCTCATGCCAGGTATCGATTCCTGACAACCTCTTGTTAGCTTCGGGTGCAGTGTATGTGGCATCTGCTAACACTGCCATAGTTTTGGGTCGCATTTCTGCTGAGAACAAAGAAAAGGCAAAGTACTTTGTAATGCCAATTTTTTTTAATGTTATATTTAATTAATATTGACATTTTTTGATGGAGCATTTTATAACCGATTTTTACAATCATAGCCAGCAGATGACTGTCTAACATGAGTCTGGTTTTGCTCGGGGTTTCTGCCTGTTGAAGGATGTTCCTCCTCTCCACTGTAACCTGCTAAACACTCATGTTGTTGAAGATAGGATGGGAGTGAGTCTGATCTTACTAGATGGGGCAGAATGTTACAACCAAATATGTATGTGGGTAAAAGTTGTTCTATCTTTGATGCTTTGAAGTAACAGAGGAAGAATAGGCGATGTGTGGTGTTGAAGCTGGCAGCACTGAACTGTGTTGTGTGTCTATGCATATCTAACTGTGTATGTATGTGGAGCTGCCCTGTCGACAAGCTGCTTCTCTGCAAAGATGTAATGTGATGTAATGACATGCTAGGACACAAATATTGCGCCTTTTCGGGGTGCAGTGTGAAGCTATAACAGTGTGGTGAAAGCAGAACACTGTTCTGGCATAGAGCTGCAAAATTACAGAGTTTCAGAGGCTCGTGTTTCAAACAGAAAAATCACCACAGAGTCACAAAATGAGTCTGAGTTTGGGCTATTTTTGGGACAGTGACAAGTGGGATGATGAAACTAAACATCAGAGAAATAAAGTTTTTATTTCCTATTATTGAGATAAAAGCTTTCTAATGTCCAACTCTTCTCCTTGTCGCTTCCTTTGCCTCTCCATTCTGCATCCTCCACATTAATTTTCCCTCTTAGACAACAGTTGTAACGCTTAGAAGTCCATGAAATTCATGATTGTTTGAAACTGAAGGAAACTGGTTTGGCATTGTGTTAATCACTAATTCTGTGAATCCAATTCTCATTCAAATCTTTCCTATGTTTTCAGCTCATGCTTCGTCAGCTTAAAGCAGTGCTTCTCAAAAAGTGGGGCATGACAAAAGGGAGGAAATGTTCAGTTTCATGCCTATCCTCTTAAATTCCTGTCTATTTTGACAATAAAGATCATTCACCGTAAATAAAACACCCACACACAAAATAATAAATAGCCTACATGTAGCTGAAATGAAAAGAACATTAAATCCTTAGACAGCATTAGATAGGTGACGGGGCAAAAATGTAACATTGCACTAAGGTGCAAAAATAATGATTGAAGTGCAGTGATTATAATGAAACATGATGTTACAGGTTCCTTGTTTGTTCAATAAACTTGACAATGTGAAATTTGTTAGGATTTTGGGGCAATGAGGGGATTAAAAATTCCCCCTTGTTCAAAGTGGCTTAAAGCTTCTGGGAGGAACTTTTGGTTTGTGTCAGTTTTGGAGCCCCCTGTGGACAAAGCAGTCTTTACTTATTCTGTCTGCTACATGCTTGATTATTGATTTATGACAACAAATCTCATCCTGCTGGTTTTTGACTATCAAATGTGTCATTGGATGGATTGAGGGAGCAGGGCTGTTTGTACAGCTGCAAGGCTTGGACCTACCCCCTCACAGGGTTTCAGATGGTAAAAATAAGTGTTTTAAAATCTTAAGTCTTGTTGATTATAACATTGTTTGCTTTTGTATATCATTAAAAGGCATCACCATTAATTTTAGTCAATTTCATGAATGTATAAAAAATCTTCATAGGAGCTTTAGAGACCCACTCAGATGAAAATCATGTTTTTCTTGTTGTCTACATGTTCATGTGGCATTTTTCTGATGCTACAGGACGTATCATGAGAAAACTAAGTGCAAAATTGCATTTCTGAGTATTTCCTCATTCAAATCGCTGTGAATCTCTGGCAGACCCAAACAGCAGGCTCAGACACAGTGAGATTTCCTACATCATAAATCCAAGCTCCGCCCCTGGAGCCCCGCTATGCAGGCCAGACTCGGAGAAATAGAGAGGACAATCCCTGAACAAGTGTGTTCGTTAGCGGATTGCAATCCTCGTAAGAAAGCTAATTATAATATTAACTTTCATCATTTCCCCAGAGACATATGAGTCCGAGAGTTGAAGAGCTCTTATATTACCTGCTACTTCTACTACACTGGCAACATTAGACTACAAGCTAGCTTTAACAGGAGTGTGCTGTCTCCGCCCA